ATGAGGACGAAGCGGTTGATGAAATCCCGGAGAACGTTGTTAATTAAGGCCTGGAAAACAGCAGGAGCGTTAGTAAGGCCGAACGGCATAACCAGATACTCAAAATGACCTAGAGGTGTATTAAATGCAGTTTTCCATTCGTCGCCCTCCTTAATCCGAACAAGGTGTTAGGCGTTGCGGAGGTCCGCTTTGGTGAATAGCTTGCCACCTTCTAGGGAACACAGATTGGAACTGATCAGTGGTAGTGGGTACTTATTCTTTACTGTAATCTTCTAAGGTCAGATCAATGGGGGTTACCTAATTGCTGTGTTGAGCGGCCTCGACCCTAGCAGGCTGAGCCGACTTGAGGCAGACTGAGTGACAGAGAGCTCCAACCCAGGATTTTACCGGTGGCCCACTCAATATGTGGGCTGTGTGCTTTAAGCCAGGGATGTCCCAGAACCACAGGGGTTTCGAGGGAGGTCAACATGTGAAAGGAGAGTTTCTCACGATGATTGCCTGAAACCGTCAAATCCACTGGGGAAGTCTTGTGGCTTATGGTAGTAAATGCCTCGCCATTGAGAGCAAGGGCGGGAATGGAGTTCTCCAGCGGTGCAACTGTGCAACCCAGTTGCTGAGCCAGTTGAGTGTCCAGCAGGTTAGCCTGAGCGCCAGAATCTAAGAGAGCCAACAGAGACACCCTCCCCACACAGAGAGAAATCTGCAGCAGCAGGCGAAACTGTGAGAGTGATTGATTTATGGCAGCTTGGCTCGTCCCTACGTCTACTGGCGAGCCCTGTCTTTTGGACGAGACGGGCAAGTGGGAATGAAATGACCGGGCTTACCACAATACAGGCACTCCCCAGCCCGGATCCGACGGAGACGTTCCTCCGGAGTGAGCCGGGCACGGCCCAGCTGCATGGGCTCCATACGTGACAGTCCTTGGGTTGGGGAGCTGCCTGAGATGGCGTGGCCTCCTCCTGGGTAGTTGCGACTCTCCGCACAGAAGAGGCAAGATGGGCCATCTGCTGGGAAATTATTGCGCGAATAATTTGCTTCGCTTTTGGTGTGAACGCACCATAATGCCTTTTAAAGACATGATTCTGCCACTCAGTCGCAGAATAGCAGTGATAACTCAACTACAGAAAAAAGGAGACCTGCAGGAAATTAAGAACTGGAGTCCAGCTTCCAGTTTCCTGTGCTCTGACTACAAAGTTCTTCCCAAGGCGCTAGTCAACCAACTGAGAGATGGTATGGGCCAGGTCATCCACAAAGACCAAACCTACTTTGTTTCTGGTGGAGCATATTGCACAATGTCCTTAATTTGTGATATGCTGGACATCTCTGATTTCCTTGGGCATTGTAACTGGTTTCTCTGCCCCCTTCAGAGTGTGTAGAAGGTTGAAACAGGGCTGCTCCCTCTGAGAAATGCTTTATGCGCTGGCCATTGAACCATTGTTATGTAAAATCAGGGCAAACTTTGGAGTTTTAAATGGTTTTAATAAAAAAAATATTCTATCATCTTATGCATCAATGTTTTCTTTGTTAGAAACCAGAATTGTTAAAAACTTTGGCACCTTGTCAGCCGCAAACGTTAACTGGGCAACCTTGGTTTTGTCATGCTAAAGGAATGGAGACAGGCAACAAGGTCCCAGACCTGAGGGAAAACTCAAGGCAGTTACAATACAAGTCTGATTAGATTTAGGACTAAATTCACACCTCGTTCTTCCTTCACGCAGCTATGTTATGCATAGACAAATGGGATCAAAGAGGTGCTCTAAGATTCTTCAGACAATTCCCACGCAGCTGGTGTTGTGGAACTTCACAATGAAACTCATGATTAGCTGATTAGCTTAACTATTACACTGGCTAAGTGGAAGTGGCTGAAGCCACAGATGTTGCATAGCAGCAGGATTCTGGTAATAAACAATCTGGTGGCCTCAGCGCTTTCTCATTAAGAAACTACGGGATATCCTTTCTAGGACCCAAAGAGGAGACGGGTGGCAGGGGATTGTGCACATTGACAGCAGAGTGACCTCTTTGAGGTTCCAGTTTTTACAAAAGTATCTCACAGGTCCAGCCAGGGCTTGACATTAGCACCCGCCCACCCGACAAATGTGGGTAGAATTTGGCTGTGGCGGGTAAAGCAGAGTGTGTACTTCCTTAGTTTAGCTTAGCTCTCTCAAGCCTCACGCATTAACCATGAGACAGAAATTCCGTCCGCAATAGGCAACTGGGAACGACCGACTACAGTGCCAAATGTTCCGCTTATCAATATCTCTACTTTACTTATCACGTCCACACAGGACTACATCTAATAAACGTAAAATAAGGATTGTCTTATTTATCTATCTTATTTAAGTATACTTACGCACACTAAGTACTTATAAAGTTTGGGTCTATTACTGCTTTGTGGTGCACCCAAATATGAAAACAAATTGCTTAGACAAACCAGAACAGTAATAGAATAGAGCTACATACAAAACAACAGTAGTGATTCCTTCCTGTTGGGCAGAAACAAAGAACATTCACATGTCTCATACTGTTCAACACAGTTTACCGTTATTTTTAGGGCTGCAACAACAAATCGCTGAAATCGATAAAATTTGATTATTAAAAGCGTTGGCAACAAATTTCATTATTGATTTGTTGTGTCACACGATTATTATGTCACTCAATGAGTTGCGGAGATGCGCGCGGAGCAAAAGTAAAATCGTCGAGCCGACGTAGAGGAAGGAGGAGCCAGCAGCGTCAGGAGTTGTAAGTGTGTCATGGCAAAATATGCCAAGTCGACGTAACCTGGCACGGAAGCCCCACGTTGTCCCGTTTTGACGTGAGGAACGTAACAAGCCTTCAGCAACTTCGCTGCTGCTGTTTACTCGTCATCCAGCTGATCACTGGAGGTGACTTAGGCTCTTAGACTAAGACTCGTTTTTATTTACTCGCCTCTTTTGTACCATTCGTTTTTCAATCTGTTGTCTTGTATTTCGTGCTTTGTCACATATCGGTTATTGTTGACAAATATATTTGTGTGTGTTTAATGCTGTCATATATGGTAGTCTAGTGCACTATCTATCTATGCCTGTAAAGGGAGACACTGTGATCCATTAAACCAGCACGGCTAACTAAGAAGCCTCTAATGCATTTATTTACGAATGCCATTTTAATTTATCTCATAACACTTGGTTGTTTTTTAGCTGTACTTCGATGGGGTGTATACATTCACTTAACTTGCACTACAATGATGGTAATAACTTAATGAATAAGTTTCAATTGAACATGGGGGTGTGTTTGTGAGTGTAGTATAGAGATCAAGTTCTGACGTTAAAACAAATACTGTTACATTTTCTGATTTGTATTTTTATTTATTTTTTAATAAATGTTTATGTTCAAGGAGCAACCTGTACTTTCTGAAGTATTTTTGCAGTGTGAATTTGCAGTTCTGTTTTAGAATAAAGGATTGGAAATGAAAGCTTTTTAATGCTGTTTTTCTTTTATCCGATTAATCGAAGAAATAATCAACCGATTAATCGATTATCAAAATAATTGTTAGTTGCAGCCCTGGTTATTTTCTTATAACTGTTGGAAGAACATAACACACTCACTCAAGCGCCTGCGTGCACGGATCCATACGGTACACGTGTAAGCTCACGGCAGCTTCTGTCTCTCTCTTCTGTACATCTCTAAACAGTTAACATACATCTCAACATACATCTTAATTTACACAGTGGTTCAGGTTTATTAATTAATGACTACTTACGCTAACCCGTTGAACAAGTAGTTATCTCGAGCAACCAAGATGCTAAAAGCTAATACTCTCTGTATCGTCAGTAGCCGCCCACTCCTGCGCTGTAACTCCGAATCACACGTGGACTCGGTGCTATCGCGTGACTCCTGCTGATGGTACTTAAAGTGACAGTACACCCTAATTTGAAGCAGCATCTGTCACTTGCCTAACCCTGCATGTAGACCATCTAACGGTATGAAAACCTCCCTGCCCCCACTTCCCCTGGCTACATATAATATATTATTATTATTTATTTGGCATTTGTTTGTTCGTGGTTGCAAAATAATTTGTTTTTATAACTTTCACAAAATAAAAACAATATGTACCTTTCTTTATTTGGCTTCTGGTTTTCCCTTAAAAACAACAACAGGAGAAAACTTGCAGGAGAGCTGCAAAAACTGTACTTCGACACTGGACACTTGGACCGGTGTGAAACCAGTGTGGAGGGTTTTATACAAACCTCCCATAAAAAAAGAGAACTGGAGATCTACAGTGGAGGATCTTAGAGTTCTTTTGCTGTTAATTCTTTTATTGCTGTTATTACTCCTACAGTTTGTAAACATTGTCTGTTCTGTGAGGAGGTAACGGCCGTGTTGAGGCTGTTTTTATTATTTTATGAGACTCCTTTTTAACCTATTTAACACACGCGGGATGTTTTTAAAGGGTTTAGTGACCTGGTCCAGGGCCACCTTTATTATAGGAGTGAGCTTCATCAGCTTCAGCTTCCACTTACAGAGTGGAAGCTGATGAAACACTTGGAGAGGTGAAACTGTCAATTTACAGAAAAAGGAAAAAACAGAGTAGAGAGCCGGGCAGGAAGCTCTTCATATATTCATCTCACGAATCAAAGCTAGAATCTGGGTGGATTTTAGGTTCTTCAACGGTGTGAACAACATCCAAGATTTTAAAGAAAATGGTGTCTGATGATAGTATGTTGTGCGGTTGGAGAAGAACCAGTTTTTAACGCTCCTTTTAATAATTTGGTTTTTCTTTGTCTGTTGATTGGTTTAAGCTTGCCACGACAACGTTCGCTTGCCTATATATAAATAAAATAAAGGTTTTCTAAAAATAAAAATCTCTTTCTTCCTCTCTTTAGATCATACATCATATTTTTATTTACCTTTATTCTTGAAGAATGTTAAATACAATACCAATGGCAGAATTTTACAATGTGTAGGTGTTTTGCAACTAGTACCTGCCGTTAATTGTTGTATGTAATTTGTGCCTTGTGCAGGCTGAAACCGATGATGGAACACCAGCCAACCAGACCGGAGACGTAATCCACAAGAATGTAAAGGACTATGGCTTTGTCTGCCTCAACAAGGACCAAGCTCACGGCTTCTGTCACAACTACAGGGTTCGCTTCCTCTGTGGAAAACTGGGTACATTCTTAACTTTGAATGGATTTATTGCAAAAATAGTTTGTCAACGACCACCTGCATGGTATTTTTTAAATGCATTTTCTGAGAAGAGAATGTAAACATTCTAAGTCTTCAACATAGATCAACCTTAAGGCACCTACATAGACATGGGAGGAAAGGGGGTCTTAGGTGTGAATGGTTTCCAGTTTCAATGAGTCAGCCCTATGATAGTCTGTAAAGGGTTTTCTAACATAAAATTAGTAACTATATAATTTTTTTAAAAATCCATTAGAGAAAAATGTGGCCTTGTGTACCATTAGACCAGTGGTCATCAACTTGTCTGCGGGACCCAACATCACAATTTATTGACAAGCCATGACAAGAAATATTAGATTAAAGAATTATAAATAAATCCTTGAAAAACAAAATAAAGTAGTAATAAAAGAAAGCATGCTGGACAGCAGAAGTCCTGCTCCAAAGGTGGTTTCCCAGTGGAACCACAGATGTGTTCCAAGACACGCCCAAGGTTACCAGTTGTTTTACATCCACGACACCAAAAGGTTTTGTCCATGCTGACCTACGTCAACGTAATGGATAAATTATACAAAGGGTGGACGTATTTTTGTGAGTCTCCGTGGCGTACTGCTAAGAGCAGCCACCAGGTTGACGTTTTGATGTTTTGACCCACCGGGTTCGAATCCAGGTTGTGCCGATCTTTCCTTTAATATATTTTTTTATATAAATATTTTCATACGTGGCTTATATTACATATAATATATATATACATTTTTCTAGGCTTGCGGACGCAAGCCTCCCGCAGCGCACAAGGCTGCGATTGGTCCGCAAACTACATCCTTTACGGAGTCTCACGTTTCCATTTTCATAGCCCGATACGCCATTATTAAAACAAAGAATGTTTACGAGAGAACGCATCAGATTGGAGAGCTTCTGTCGGAAGAAATGCGTAAATATGACTGGTTGGATTCATGAGGGAGATCGCTGCAAACGCCGGTTTGCCGGTCAAGAGGTGCACAAAGTTGTGGAGGAAAATACAGGACAAATGTGTCCAAGATGAAAAGAGCAGCAGTGGCGATGCACGGGGCAATAAAGTCTATGATAAATAAATAAACAAACCAACGACTTCCACAAACAAAGACGTGACTCTCTAGGTCGTCTTCGACAAAAAAACACGTTACTCAACCTATTGTTCTGGCGGTAAATTACTCTGCAACACACGCAAGACTTTTTGAACCATGAATTGAAACGAGTGCGTCGACGCAACGACACAGACGCAGAAGCATGCGCCAGCCTTTCACTAGTAAAGCGGGGCGAAAATTTGCTTGTGAACGTACCATAATTGCACATCACCTGCAGTCGTATGTGTGTGTGTCAGATATTGAGGTTTTGATGATCCCGAAGTAGACTTGTCTTGCAGTGTGAAAATAGCAGTATGTATTCTTTGAGCTCTAACTTTCTGCCTCTGTAGTTCGTCCGCAGGCCTCCATTTCCATCGATATTTTTTCCAACAGCAGCATACTGGAGCTGGCCGACCAACCAGAGGGCTGGAAGTCTGGGGATCAGGTAGTCACGGCCAGTACCGACTACTCAATGCACCAGGCCGAAGAGTTCACCCTGTTACCCTGCCCTACCTGCAATTCCAACCAAGTCAAGATCCAAGGTAAGACAAGAGAGAATAGTATATTACCATGCAGAGCTCGAAGGAGAGGCTCTTCATAGCATAAAATCGAGGTCTCTGGAGCAGAGGTCTTTTGACAACCAGTCTTCATAGGAGAGACCATAATATACTTTTTCCACTCACATGCTCCTTGCCTGTCTTAGGATCAGCGGCATCTCCTTCTTTATTCTTTAAATCTACAGTATAAAATAGAAGGCTATAGGCTAGGGGGTATAGAGTACAAATAAAAAGTTAAAAATACAGATAACCATACTCTACACAACTGTGTATGTGAAAGTGACAAGTTTATGTGCATGTGGCGTGTGACTCAGTCACACAGGCTCTGTTAATGAGCCCGACTGTCGACGGAAAGAATCTGTTGTGGCATGAAGTCTTGGTCCTGATGGACCTCAGCCTCCTGTCAGATGGAAGGGGAACAAACAGTTCTTGTCTAGGGTGAGAGGGGTCGGCTACGATCTTTTTAGCTCACTTCAGGGTCCTAGAAGCAAACAAGTACAGGAGAGATGCCAGATTGCAGCCGATCACCCTCTCTGCAGAGCGGATGACACGATGCAGCCTGCCCTTGTCTGTGGCTGCAGCGTACCAGAAATGCACTTATTTTAAGTCGCTTTGGATAAAAGCGTCGGCTAAATGACATGTAATGTAATAACCAGGTCATTATGATGTACCATTTCAATTCAATTGATTTTATTTTGTATAGCCTAAAATCGCAAATTACAAATTTGCCTCAGAGGGCTTTACAGTCTGTACACATACAACATCCTCTGTCCCGAAACCCACCATCGGCACAGGAAAAACTCCCCAAAAAATGAAAAAACCTTTCCAGGAGGGAAAAAAGGGAAGAAACCGTAGGGAGAACGTCAGAGGAGGGATCCCACTCCCAGGATGGACAGACTACAATGGATGCCATGTGTACAGAATGAACAATGTATAATACATGCAATTCCTATGACAGAAATGATTCAAGTAATTGTGAGTAGTAAGCCAGCCGCACAGCAGGACCACTGCAGGGGCAACCACCATCAGATAGAACCACCATCTACAGAAGCCTGTGGGGAGGGAGAGCACAGAGACATTAGGAGAGGGTAATGTTGGTTTACGAGTACAGTAATGTGATTAATATCTAAAATAATAATGATGATGATGATGGCAGCAGCAGGCGTCAGCAGAGCCACGGCAGGTGTCAGGACCAGGGTCCAGAAGGAACTACGATCTACGGAGACCTGCTAGGGGAGAAGGCACAAAAAAACTCCCGAAAAGAAGCGGAATTAGTCATTTGCATTAATAAAACGTGAATTATGGTAGAACGAGAACATGAAAGAGGAGCTCGGTGTGGCCTAAGAAGTCCCCCGGCAGTCTAAGCCTATAGCAGCTTAACTAAGGGCTGGTCTGGGCTAACCTGAGCCAGCCCTAACTATAGGCAGAATCAAAGAGGAAAGTTTTAAGTTTTACTTTAAAAGAGCTGACCGAATCTGCCCCCCGGACTGAAAGTGGAACCTGGTTCCACAAAAGAGGAGCTTGATGACTGAAGGCCTGGCCCCCAGCCTACTTTTTAAAACCATAGGAACCAAAAGTAACCCAGCATCTATGGAGCGCAGCTGCCTTGTAGGGCAATAAGGTGTTAAAAGCTCTTTAAGATACGACGATGCCTCACCAGCAAGTGCCTTGTAGGTGAGGAGAAGTACCTTAAAATCTATTCTTGAATTAACAGGGAGCCAGTGCAGGGAAGTTAATACAGGAGTGATATGATCCCTTTTCTTAGTTCTTGTTAATACACTTGCTGCAGCATTCTGAATCAACTGGAGAGGCTTAAGAGATTTACAAGAGCAGCCCGATAAGAATTACAGTAGTCCAGTCTGGAAGTGACAAACGCATGAACTAATTTTTGAACTAAGTTCCTGATTTTTGATATGTTACGTAGAGGAAAATAGGCAGTACTTGAAGTCTTCTTCATATGCGAGTTGAAGGTCATATCCTGGTCGAAGAGAACTCCCAGATTCCTGACAGTGCTGCTGGGTACCAGAGCAATTCCATCCATAAAAACTGTATCACGTGACAGCTGGCTTCGAAGGCGCTCTGGGCCTATCAGGATAACTTCCGTTTTTTCTGAGTTTAGCATCAGGAAGTTGCCGGTCATCCAAGTTTTGATGAAGACATTCTTGAAGTCTAACTAGCTGGTCCGTCTCTTCTGGCTTCATCGACAGATACAGTTGAGTATCGTCTGCATAACAATGGAAGTTTATGCGGTGTTTCCTGATAAGATCGCCCAAAGGAAGCATATAGAGGGTAAATAAAATCGGTCCAAGTACAGAACCTTGTGGGACTCCGTGACCAATATTGGTGGTCTTCGAGGATTCACCGTTTACAAGCACAAACTGGGATCGATCCGATAAGTAGGATTTAAACCAGCTGAGTGCAGTTCCTTTGATACCAATTAAATGTTCTAGTCTCTGCAACAGGATACAATGGTCTTTGGCAGGGGTCACCAAACTTTTTTCTCTGGGGGCCACATTATCGTTCCTGACTGTGATGGGGGGCCGGGGGCCGGGTCAGCTATATAACATAGAATTGTATGACCCAGATCAAAATGACCACCAGCAGGCCTCATTGTGTAGTAGAGATTACTAGTCTGGCACAGCCATCCCCACTACTATATCCCCACTACTATATCAACACATTTATTTATCTTTACTAGTGGTTTGCAAAAGTAGTAATTGAGTCTTCACACTTTGTTTTAATTTGAAATATCAGATTTTCCATTTATTTATTTTCAAATAAAAATAACATCAAAGCTGTCAAGGTAAGAAACATCTTCCTAGTTGAGGTGATTGACACTGGCAAAGGTGAGTGAAAAATTATAAATTACAGGTAGGCCTGTTGATATTAATAATAATTGTGTGCAGCACTTAATAAAGGTCAAATAAATAGGCCTATACAATTAATTAATTAAAAACATTGACATTATAATAACATGAATAATAGAACAACTAGCCAGCTCTTATGCCTGTCCAGGTGAGCATGTTCAGTAAACATTTTTTAGGTCAAGGTGAAAATGAAATCAGCAGTAGGCTCAAAACTAAAGCACAACCATAATACAGAATAATGGGAATCAAAATCAGTAGTATGTGTAGGTGAGCTGGATTTGCACTTGTTGATGAATTGTCTTTGGGATGGAGTCAGCAACAGCAATCTCCTCTCCTCACTTCAAGGTGCCTTCTGGAGCCCTGGCATGGAGGGATGACCGATTGAACACAAGAAGCACCCTATTCGGGGTTCATACACATTTTAACCAATACTTTTCCATGACTTTTCGGCACATTTCCATGACTATTTTGATTAATATGTGCGAGGGAAAGACAGCGCTTAGTTTGGAGACGGTGCACGCACGTGACCGGCTCTTTCTCTCTCTCTGCTCGTTCTTTCAGTTAAACTTGCAGCTTTTTAACTTTAACGTTAAATGCCGGTCACATCGTCTCTAAACAGTCCGCTCTCAGTGATGTTCTGCGCGAAACATTTCGGCAGAGGGAAAAAAAGTCCGCGAGTGAGTACAATTACATTTTGGAAGTAACTTGCCCAACACTGTCAGCACCGACTTCGCCTCAGGCAACATCACAACAAGCGAGTGAATCGGAAGTGAACTGAACGTTATGCCATAACGACTTTTGGGGATTGCCTCATTGGGCCGGTTCAAGTAGTGGGGGGCAGAGGGGCTGGAGGGCCAGTCAAAGGTGGGCCTAAGTCGGCCCGTGGGCCTTAGTTTGGTGACCAATGGTCTATGGTATCAAATGCGGCACTAAGGTCCAGCAAGACAAGAAAAGAGATGAGTCCTTGGTCCGATGCAAGTAGAAGATCATTCGTAATTTTCACCAGTGCTGTTTGTGTACTGTGATGTGCTCGAAATCCTGACTGGAAATCCTCGAACAAAGCATTGTTTTGTAGAAAGTCACATAATTGATTTGCGACGGATTTCTCAAGGATCTTAGAGAGGAAGGGAAGATTAGAGATAGGTCTGTAGTTAGCCAACACCTCTGGAGCAAGAGTAGGTTTCTTAAAAAGAGGTTTAATTACAGCAGCTACCTTGAAGGACTGTGGTACATGTCCTGTCAACAAAGACAGATTCATAATATCTAATAAGGATGTGCTAACTAAAGGAAAAACGTCCTTAAGCAGCTTGGTCGGAATCGGATCCAAGAGACAAGTAGAAGATTTAGACTTTGAAAATAAAGAAGTCAGTTGATTAAGGTTGATGGAAGAGAAGGCATCCAAACAGGCATCAGGGCCCACTGCTGCATCCAAGGTCCCTACATCGGAGGACAGGTCGGCACTGGTTGATTCCATTCCAAAATGAAAGCCTCTCAAAATACCATATATGAGGCAATTTCCTTCAAAATCCAATTCCAATTCATTCCAGACTACATCTGGTCAATGTCAGATTAGATTTAAAATGAAACAATCAATAGTTATAGGATTTTTTCAATTCAGATTGATAGTACACATCCCCAATGTGTCACTCGGGGATAACCAGGACATTCTGATGTACTATTCCTAAATTAAAGCCTCTCAAAATACCATACATGAGCCAATTTCCTTCTAATTCTCCATCACAAGATCTGGTCAATTTCAGATCAGATTTAAATGGAAACAATCAAAAGGTACATGATCATTTCACTTTAGATTGATAGTACACATGGTTTCACTTGGTGATAACCAGGACATTCTGATGTACCGTTTTAGAAATTAAAGCCTCTCAAAATGCCACCTTCGTTTTTTACTGGATACTAGAAAATGTGACTTCCTGTTACCAGTAGGTGGCGTTATTACTTGATTCAACTTTACATCTCTTCAGGCCCAGAGTCCCATCAAACATGTGTGAATTGGAAAGAATCCGATGATCTAGAGTAGAGTTACAACGGTTTAGTTGTTCTTCGCAAAGGATCAATTTTGCCGATGCACCCTCTCGCCACGATTATCGGATTCTTATA